GAAGAGTTCCTAGATCAAAGTAAAAATCACTCTACCTTCTACTAGAAGGATGGAGAGCTGATGTGCAAGAGCAGCCCTGATTCCCTATTTCAGCAGAATGAATGACGTGGGTTCAAAGCCAAGCTCTTTACTGGATGTAGAATCGAGTTTGTCTTCCAGGACAGAAAGAATCAGTCTAAACTTGGTGAAGGAGACAGTGATTTTATTACTCACAGAATTACTTAGAGACAAAGAAGACATTCACTTGCTCAGTGTTGGTAAACTCAGGTTTCTGGTGACATCAACCAGATTCATCCACAGTTATCCGCTATCCAGGTGCTGAGAAACTCGTAGTTTCATTCTGGCCTGATTTCTCTCTCCTAGGAGAAGCTCCACAAAGTGCTGAAGAAGCTGATGAAGGATGAGAAAGAGTTGGAGAAGTTGAAAGCTGACATCGAAGAAGAAAGAACTTCCTGGAAGGCAGGAGAAAACAACTCTAAGGGTGTTAGCCAGAATCTGGCGGGATCTTGGGAAGGAGATCCCTTCTTCTTTGTTCTCAGGAGTCATCTGATGAGTCTCATTCCTGCTTTCCCTTGTGGGAGAGCAGGCAGGAGAGTGGCTGTCACTAATGAGTGCAGCTGGTTGGGGGGAGCTGTTCACACTGAGTGAGGCTGGGGACCCTGGCCAGTGGATGCCGTCCGACGTGACTGCTGGTTTTTCAGACTGACTGTACTGGGGAGAAGATATTGACAACAGGCCGTGATTCTGACTTCAGTGGTCACCTTTGGCAGAGAGTTCACAAGTGGAGTGCGGAGTAAAGCGGGGAGGTGTGGGTGTCCTGGAAACTAAGCCACACCCAGGCATCCCATTTGGGTCAGGGTGAGCCTGGGTGATGTTGACTTAAGGTCCTTGATTTTAATGGCAGGGAGGGAAATCACAAGAGAAGTATGCTTCCCTAAGAACTTCTCCTTTCTACTTGCCTTCCCCTGAGAACTCCCTGGTAAAAATAATTCTTTTTCAGGCTTCCAAACTCAAGTGACTGAGTGCCTCTCTCTTTCTGCCCCCTGAAGAATCAAATACAGTGGGAGACAGAAAATGTCCAGACGGTGTTTAAACAACTGAGAGTCACCCTGGACGCTGAGGAGAACAGGCACCTGGAGAAACTGACTAAAGAGGAGGAACGGATTCTGAATAGCCTGGCAGAGTCTGACAAGGAGCTGACCCAGCAGACCCAGCTGGTGAGAGAGCTCATCTCAGATGTGGAGCGTCGGCTGGAGGGGTCAGTGATGGAGAAGCTGCAGGTAAGACTTCAAAAGCCGTTGCAGCATCTGAGTTTCAGGAGCATTGGAAAGCATTTCCATCTCTCCTGTGTTCCTTTCCTTTCCAGTGATGGAGGTAAAGTTCTTTGGGCTAGTCAGTAGCTCACTTTGGAACCAGTTCAGGGGTTCTGGAAATAATCGAATGTGTGTATGAAAAGGGCAAATCCCATTTCAGTTATTACGAAGTGCCGTGCACCAATTAAATGTTGGAGGGAAGATCCGTTCTATCCAGTGTGGTTTTAAAATTGCCCGTTTTCTAAGCATTTGCCAAGCATGTTTTCATGATTCCTGGGAATCCCTGGTAAACAAAGGAACTTCAGGTTGCAAAAGATGTTCTACTTTCCTTTCTACAATAAATTGAGACATTTTTCATTTAGTCCCAGAAAAAAACTTACCACAGGCTAGTATACTTTTCCTTTAATTATTCATTAAAATTCAGCAGGAAAATCAGGTCATGCGTATTTTTCTTTTCATTTTCTTTGCTTTTCTATAGAATTATAAATTTTTAAATAGTATTACTTCTCTCAAGTTCATTTAGATAATCTATACTTCTTAAGTTAGATTTGGGTAATACATGTCTTTGTAGAAATTAGTTCATTTTGTCTAAATAGTGAATTTTCAGGCATAGTATAAGTATAATTCTTTTTTTTTTTTTTTTGGCACCAGAGATCGAACTAGGGTCCTTGTGCTTAATTCTTTTTATTTCTCTATTATGTTAAGTTGATCTGTCAAATAAAAATTATTTATTATTATTATTTTTTTTTTTTTTTTGCTACACGGGATCGAACATGGGTCTTTAAGCTTGCAAGGCAGGTGGCAGAACCACTGAGCTAAATCCCCAGCATAAAAAAAATCACTTATTGTTATTGCAGATAGCAAGTTCTTTAAAATTATGCATGCATTTTGGAATGTACAAATGGAGCCAGTTAACTTATTCACTACACAGTTATCTTTTTTGTGGTTACAGCAAAGTCTATTTTCTGGCAGTTTGTAACAATATAATACATTGCTACTACGTATGGCCACCACGTTGGAAATGAATTTCTTGAAGCTATTCCTTCTTTCTGATTTACCTTTTCAATCTTTTGACAAATATCCGCCCATCTCTCACCCACGCACCTTAACTCCTCCCACTGTACTTCCTGTTTCTATAAGATCAACTTTTTTTTTTTTTCTACTGGTTATTGAACTCAGGTCCTTGTGCTTGTGAGGCAGGTGGAGGAAGCACTGAACTAAATCTCCAGCCCTATAAAATCAACTTTTGTTCACTCCACATATTGAAGTGTTCACGTGATCTACTATTTTTGAGGGCCTGGCTCATTTCATTGACATACAACGGTCCAGGTTCATCTATGTTGCTTTAAATGCCAAAATTTCAGTCCTCTTTTTTTAAACTAAAGAGGATTACACAGTATATGTACATAAGTCTTCTGTCCAGCAGGATCCACATTCGCATAGGGGATTACATACAAAGTTGAAGCCAACTTCAAGCTGTCAATAGTTTACATGATGGACCGTATGCACCTCTTCTTTTCATATGTGCATGTCTTCAGCATGTCCAGAATCATATGTCACTTAATCCTAGCCTAACAACTATATGCAGTTTCTCTGTTTTAGCAACAACACACTTGTGTTTAATGTGGTTACCTGTTGTAATGCAGGCCAGGTGCCATCCTGGCTCAAACTTTTTGTTTACTTACAAGAGATATTCTCATTTCTTCCAAGTCTGTATCAGGAGAATCACATTACCTTCATGCAATAGGAATGCGGTCCAGATAGATTGAAACTTGAATTTTGTGAACAAGGTAGACCAGATTCTGAAGATAAGTTTGAGCTATAAAAGTCAGCAATTGCTGTAGTTAAAACTTACTATGACAGACCCTTTTTACCTCAAGACATAATTTTGTTTGGTTTATGTCATATTAATATGAGTCTACTTTTATGGAGAACAAAACTACGTGTGTGTATCTGGACCCATCTCTTGGCTTTCTTTTGCCAAAAGTTTTATAAGGAGGAAATGAGTTCGGGGGAAAGGACACCAGGTGCAAACCAAGCTCTGTGGACAACGATAAAATGAGTAGATGATTAAAACCAAGAAGGATGTGGACTAATACAGACTGGAATTCTGGGTGACTATTATGATTTGGGAGTGTGAGAGAGAAAGCCTCATGCTTGGCATTAAATAGTCGACATCCTGTTTTCCTGTCCTTGTGGCTTCCTCATTCTTGTATACATTAAACTGCATTTAACTGAGAAATCCGAGTAAACATAGACTTAGAAACAAGCTCTTATACACATACATTTAATTTAATGAGAGGATAGGTGCATTTTAGTTAGCATGGAATGTGAGACGAGATACTTGTTGTACTTATCCCCTCAGCGAAACCTGTGTACAGTAAACCTTTTCTGGAACTATAGGTCATCCTCGATTCTGCAAATCCTGCTCATCCCTAGAAAATAGCAGTGTATCGTTGCCGGTATCTGTAAAATAAGTGGGCGAACCATGTATTATTTAAATCATCTTACAGGTAGCCGTGGATGGTTGGCTTGAGTGTTATGTTTACTTTCTGTCTTTCCGACTGGGCAAATCCCCATCCTCAGCACGTTAGGGGCTTCTGGAAATGTGATAAAGCTTTGTAAGTGAGGAAAGTCCATTAATTTTAACTCATGCTGTTGTGTTTCTCACTAGGAGGTGAAGGACCCCATGGAAAGGTATGTGTGGGATGCCAAGGACTGACATTTTGTGTGAGGAGAGATTTGTAGTTATTAAATCAAGGAGTGTTCAGTGGGAATAGAACATTACCCAGGTCAGGAAAATTTAGACGTGGTGCTACCTGAACTCCTTGTCACCAAGCAGAGCTTGAGTGTTTTATGACTATGGAGAGGGGATCAGAATGAACCCGACTGTGTGCAGCGATTTGGGTGTGGAGCCAAGGTCTGGAGCAGTTGCACTATGAGAATTAGGTGTTACAATATCATGCTCGTCACACACCATTTATTCACTGTGGGTCCACAATGACCGCTAAGCTTTGGAATTGATAGCTGCTTGATATTTTTATAGATGGAATATATCTTCTTTACCAGCCATCAGGGATTGTCCATTGGGATAACCGATGTTTCTCCTGGAAGCGGGAGAGATCCTGTCCAAAAACACCCGAGTCTGTCAAACAGAGTTGTGGCAGAAGGGCACACAGTTGGTCCACCTTGATCGCATCCTCCTGGAGAATTGGGAAGGGCGTCCTCCTCCTCTCTGCACCTGGGTACCTGCCTGGCAGCCTCAAGCTTTTCCAAACACATGGAATTCTAAAATTCCAGCCAGTAACAGCTTGGCGTTCCTTTGCTAAAAGTTTGTAAATTCCCACAGAAAAACGGAAACGTGAAACCTCAGATGTTAGAGGACCTTGTGACTGGTACAGGCTTTGGAGTTTTGGGTTCTCCGGTCGGATTTCTACCCTTGATACGTTCCAGACACCCAAGAGCCAGATTTTGCAAATTTTCTTACTGATCACTTTCTCAGGACCCACACTCATGGCAGTGTAATTCTTGTATACGTGTTTTGTTTCCTCAATTTTGGGCAGGGGTTTGCTTTTAAAGTCCTTAAGAATAGAGAAGCTGTGCTTCTGATTGTTATGTTCAAGGCCTTCCCTGCTTCACACAGAGTGATTGAGAAGCCAGATATATTCTTTAGGACTTGAAGAGTTTACCTCGTCCCTTCTCAGGATCCCCAGGGAAGAGAGTTCAAGTGCAGAAGTGAGATGCACTGATAGGTGTCAGTGGTGTTGGAAGGACACAGGGGTGAGAAGTGGAGTTCACTTTATTTCCTCTCTAGGAGTAAGTCGTTGACTCCGAAGAAACCAAAAACTTTTCCCAGGACAAAAAGGATGGTGCTCCAAGCTCCCGATCTGAAAGGGATGCTACAGATGCATGAAGGTGAGCAGCGCTGAGTGGGCACTGTCCTACACGCCTGCCTGTCATCCTTGCTCCTCGGGAGGCTGAGGCAGGGAGATTGCAAGTTCAAGTCTCGCCTGAACAATTGAGCAAGTTGATGACACTCTGTCTCAAAGTCAAACTTAAAAAGTGTGGAAACCTACTCAGTATTAGAGCACCTAGCTGGCAGACACAGTGGGTCCGGGGTGTAATCACTAACACCCCCCAAATGGGAGGAGAGTGGTGAGTGAGGAAAGCTTGGCTGGGTGTGTGGCTGGGGGATCCTAGAGAGGGCAGGACTGATGAGGAAGAGACAGCAGTGCCTAGGGCTGGATGGAGGAGAGAAGGGAAAATGTCCCTTCGGGCGATGGGATCACATGGGGAACGAGCATTCGTCCTTGGTCCCCAGTTCACCGGCTGGTCATTGTCCCCTGCCTTCCCCCAGACTGGACAGGAAATGGGTGTCTCGTTTGCTTGAATTTAACGCCATACATTTTTGTCATTTCAGAGCTGATGGAGGTCCAACGCCACTGGGGTAAGGGGAAATCATAAAATCCTAAGCCACCCTCTCCTCCACATATTTCAGAAGTTATTTGTCATGTTTGGAGACCCATGTGTCACCTCCCAACACACACACGTACAGCATGTCTGCACATGTACTACCCCTGCTTCTGGCTTCTGAGTGAAGCTTCTCCACTCCTTTCTCAGGATCTTCCCTGGAATCTTCTCCTGACATCACACATATTATGTCCCTCACACATCCTTGTAATTTTTCAACAGTTTCCGTGACATTGGCTCCAAGCAACAATCGATTCATTGGCAATCGTGCATTTTGGAGAAATGGTAGACTTATACAAGCAAATGATCTTTTCCAGACATGGAATTCTCACAGTGGCTTCCTGGGCACCCCAGCTATCACATCAGGGAAGCATTACTGGGAGGTGGATGTGACTAAGTCTTGTGACTGGTTCCTGGGAGTAAGTGAGGGAAGGTACCTCAACACCACATTCAAGGACAGTGTTTCATGTTATCAACCTAATTCGGGCTACTGGGTCATAGGGCAGCAGAATAACGATAACTATAAAGCTTTTGATGAGAGTTACACCTCTGATCCCTTGACCTTGGCCCTTTCCCTGACTGTGCCTCCAAAACGTGTTGGAGTTTTTCTAGACTATGGGGCTCGTACCGTCTCATTCTACAATGTGACAAACCATGGCTTTCTCATCTATAAATTCTCCAACTGTTCCTTTTCTGGTAATGTTTTTCCATTTTTCAGTCCTAGGATGTCTGTAGTACCTGTGCCATCCTGTGAGCCAAGCGTTTGAACTTTCTTCTACCCTCTCTCTCTTCTGTGCCCCGCCTCTAGCTGAGGTGTGCATGTCCTGCCCCCAAGGAGGCCTGCTCCGTTTTCACCGCTTTGCCTGCTGTCTCCTGCTCTTCCTTTTGGGGCCTTCACTCACAGTAGGGTGTACAAATGCTCTGGTGCCATGTTCTTCCCGATAGCTCATTTGCTCAGGAGAGAATCTTCATGCAGCCTTTCTGATACTCTGAAGGGATTGACTGATTCCTCATTAAGAAAAACCACTGTTGAGGTTAACCACGGTGCCAGATCTTTATAGCCCCTTTGTGTGGCACTGATAAACGATCAAGGGAGGGAGGGGCATTTAGCTCAGGTTCTGCCTCCTGCCTCACAAGCACAAGGACCCGAGTTGGATCCCTGGTACCTCCCCCAAAATAATAAGGGAAGTCTTCAACCAATTTTCTGTGTATTGGAGACTATATATATTATGGAGATTTCTATGTATTGTGCGTAGGAGTTTCTCAGGAAAGAATGAGCCCTTAGCAGTGCAGTATGTCACTCTGACCAGGATGCTTCTTACTCATCCAAGGATGAGGAAGATAGTATCATCATGGAATGCAGGGAGATTAGATCTTTTGCAAATGGGATGGGACTAAGAGGTGGAGGCAGGGGGATGAGAGAAGAGAGGAAATTAAAATGTGTTATGTATATGTAGCAACTCCCCATGATGAATGTAACGTTACATACTGCAAACGTGCAAATAAAAGCAAACATTTAAATTAAGAAAATGAAAGATATCTTCAGTGGTATATACTAAGAATAGAGATCTAAGTTCACATCCCTTCTGTCTGTATACCAGCCGTATAAGTTTTTAAAATATTCTTAAATATTTGTTTGTATTTTCTTACAACAGTTTTGGTTTGAGCTGATAACTTCGATCACTCTGAGAGAACAAAGTGAGTTTTAAGCATCCACCGAGTGTCTCATAACTATCGTAATAGTTGAAAAATGTAGGAAGTATCAGTGTCCCACGAAGCAGGTCGTGCAGAGGGGAACTGCAGTTGATCTTAGAGAAGACTCATTTCTAGGCCCCAGATACCAGTGTGCCGTTCTCAGAACCACTTGTTTTGCTGTATACATTTTTCCTCACAGTTCGGTGGGGCTGTGTGTGTGTAATTCTGGAATTAGCACCCAGTGGTCCCTGTAAAATATACTGTGTGGGATTCAGATTACAATTTGTTAAAAAAATGGATAAAATAATAATGATGAAATTTCTCGCGTAGCATCGTTGTAAACACCAAACAACAGACTTTTTAGTTACTCATGTTGTCCCTGGAACATCCAGCTTGGTATCTAAATTTTTGACTTATTCTCATTTGACTAAAATAAATGATTTTAAAGCATATGTATCAGTTTGCTTGCAGAAACTTTACCCCCAAGTTTTGTTTAAACAATAGAATGTGCTTAAAAATTATAAAAATAAATGGCTGGGTTTGGTGGCTCACAGCCTGTAATCCCAGCACTCAGGAGGCTGAGGCAGGAGCATCACTGTGAGTTCAAGACCAGCCTGGGCTACATAGTGAGCTCCAGGTCAGTCTCAACTACATAGTGAGACCCTGTCTCAAAAAACCAAAAAAATAAAAAATAAGAAAATAAAAATCAGAACCAAGATTGATTATGTAAAGGTACACATTTCCAACAATGAATGTCATTGTATTGTATACATTAAATACATCAATAACATTAATTTTAAAAATTGCAGATTTTTTATTAGTAGTAATTTGTAGCCTGTTTTACTAACTTCATGATACTAAAACTTTTTCATATTTCTACAAAATTTCCTTTCATCAGAAGCCCTTTTCTGTATCTTAAAATAAATGTAATTAATTAATTAATTGTATCTTTTATAGTATTGGGATGGAACCTATGGCCTTCACTCTGAGGTACATACTGCTACACCCCCAGCTGTTTTCCAGCTTTTGTTCTGTGGTCCCTTCTCGTTATGCTGCCCAGGCTGAACTGGGACTTGTTACACTCCGGACTCCAATTCCCAGAAATTGGGATTAGAGCTTGTGCCGGGGTGCCAGAGCAATAGAGTGTTTGTTCTGCACGGTGATACGGGCAGTCACAGCACATCTGGAGCATGTCTCCACAGCAGTGTGTGAGTACTCTGTGTGTCCTGGTTGCCTTTGGTCTTTCATTGAGATGGAAGTTTGTGGTATTTCACATGAATGGGGAAAACGCCTGTTGTCCTCCTTCAGTGAAACAGAAGCAGAATTGTTCTGCAGTGAATACAGTGCTGGTGGGGTCCTCTTGCATGTTTACACTTTGACCTCCATCTCTTCCTCAGCTGACTTGTAAGGTGGAGGAAAAAAAGAAACAGTTGCATGCTTTGTCAAGTAGTATCTGTTTGGATCAGTGCCTGGCCACTAATATATCCCAAATTCTGAGTCTTCAGGTGCTCTTGATGGAGAAGAGATTCCAAGGTGGATATTGTCAATCCGTGTGCCTGTGCAGGTTTATATGCCCACACCCCTACCTTAGCACTCTTATAAAGTTTCTCTTACACCCCACCTTCCTGTCACCCACTGCAAAGGTGACCTTGGCTCTCACTCACCAGGAATAGTCTGGACTATCTTAATTTATTAACACGTCAGTGTCTAAGGGCATTGTGTCTTCTCATTCCCTGAAATACCTATCTCCCAGTGCAGAATGAAGTGCACAGTTACAAGGAAATAAAGATCTGAAGTTGTATACATGTCACACATACCACAGAAACATACAGAGAAATACCCATTTTTTAACAGTGGCTCCTGTCACCAGAAAGGGAAATCTGCAGAAGAGAATATAAAGTTTATGAATGCTCCTAGCTTCACTCCCTTTTCTGTGTGAAAGGCTGAGGCATCAAAGACTCAAAATTCCAACCGATACCATCTATGGATCAGTTTCTCCCTGTTGTCCAGTGCCAGGTCCATTTTCAGTCCCAGCACCCACTCACTACTCCTTTACTTACACATGCATATGACTCATATAAATTTCCTCACTGTCATGCTGGGGTCCATAACACTGTCAATCACAGTCTTTTGTGTAAAGACAATAACAAAGTTGTAGTTCCATGTAGTGAGAGACAACTGTTCTGTACACAGCAGCACACAGTAGCCACTTTCGAAAGATGAACCTGTTGGTGGTGTCCCTGTACCACCTACCGAAAAAAATAACTAAACATTTGAATTGAATATTTAAGTTTGATATGATTGAATATCATTGAGGAACCTAATTAAAGAAAGTAGGAAACAAGGAAATAGACTTTGTGGGGATGAGAAGGGGATCTACAGATGGGGGAAGACAGAAGAGAAGGAAAGGGGAAATTAAAAATCAAGATTGGTGAGCCGGGCGTGGGGGCGCATGCCTGTAATCCCAGCACTCGGGAGGCTGAGGCAGGAGGATCACTGTGAATTAGAGACCATCCTGGGCTACACAGTGAGTTCCAGGTCCGTCTTGATTTCAAAGTGAGACCTAAAAAAAAAAAAAAAAAAAAAAAAAAAAAAAAAAAAAAGAAAAGATGTGGTATGTATTTTTACCAGTTCCTCAGAATGTATTGCTTTGGGGGAAATAACATTACTTCCAACCTGTTAAATATCAGATACACTGAGTTTTTAGGTTTTTTTTTTTATCGCAGAATGAATTTAAAGGAATAATAGAAGTTACACATAGGAAAAATTTGTTGAGGGAGAAAGCTCCTGAGAGATGGGGAGACCTGAAAGTGGGTTGCTATGGACCCCACTTCACAGAGGAAGTTTTTAAGAGCAAAGTCACAAAGTGGGTATAAGGTAGATCAAAACTATGATCAACCGATGAGACTACAAGTATAGCCACATAGGCAATACTGATCCACTGGGGAAACAGGTCACGAAGCAAGTGTACATGGAAAGATTAAGGACCTTTTTAGGAAGCAATAGGAGGCCTTGATCACCCACCTGGTGACTGATATCTGTGTAGACTTTATTGGACAAGGTGGTACCAATTATAGTATAATTTTTAGTTTACCGCTTACCCCTCAGGGAGGTATGTAGGCCTGGTCATTCATCTTTATCTTAAAGCCTGGCCTTTGACAGAAGTGCCGTTAGCCACAGTTGTAATGAGTTTTTATCTTTTGAACTGACTCAAGGGCCTAACCTTGTCTGACTGCCTATAATATTTTTACCTAACTTAGCTGTCTATGATAGTATGCATTTATTATGTATCACAAGCATATTTTTAAAAATTGGAAGAAGGAAAAACAACTCATGATCCTCCTACCTCATTCTCCTGAGTGCTGAGATTCAGGCATGGAGTACTGAGCCCAGCTAAAGAAATAGTTAGAAAAAGAAATTTTTGAAAGAATATAATAGTAAATTAAAATACTAAAATAAATTTTAGCAGGACCAAAGGATCATTTCACACAGATGCAAGCAAGCAGAAGTTAGCATATGGCGAGCCATTATGGTGAGCCTTGACACAGGCACGGAGGTGCTCTCGCCCATAGCCACGGGCGAGTTCAGCTAGTAGCAGATGTAACCCATAATGGTCGTTATTGTTTCCCTCTGGAATGTGTGGGCGGTGCCCTCGCTCCCTCGCTCCCTCGCTCCCTCGCTCCCTCGCTCCCTCGCCCTCGCTCCCTCGCTCCCTCGCTTCCGTGCAGCCCTCGCTCCCATGCAGCTGGAGAGTATAAAAGGAAGAGGTTCAGTAATAAAGCAAGCAACTGAAGAAGAAAGGTGCCTCCCGTCTCTCTGTCCTCATCCTTTCAGGTTTAGGACCTGCTGGCAGGATCCTGACGTCGCGGCTCGCGACAAGTGGCGCCCGAACAGGGACCTGAAAGAATGAGGATATGCAATCCCGGACCCAGGTCGAAGGTAGTGACGGTGCTCCGGAGGACTGACCGCTGCGCCTGATCCACGCAGTAAGTCTACCGTTCACTTCATGAACTCCGGACCCAGGT